CCCCCCCAAGGCTCTTCCCGGTTTGCTCCAGCGGTCACGCAGCACGCCCCGTTTTTTAAAGGAACGGCCGTTGTCAACGGAGAGTTCAAAGAGCTGAGCCTGGATGATTTTAAGGGGAGATACCTGGTTCTCTTCTTCTACCCTCTGGATTTGTGAGTGCGGGTTTCTCCCCCTTGCGGGCGCTGCCGAGGCGTGTAATTGAAGGAGCCTGGCTGAAGGCGATAAGAAAACCCAGCACGGCGTTCCTGTCTAAAGGGGCTGGGTTTTTTTATCCCGGGTAGTCCTGCGAAGCAGATGTATCTGTTTCTAGAGCATGAGTGATAAGATTTTGGGGGCGAAAGGTGGTTTGTGTACTACAGAGGGAAGCCTCTGGCTGCTAGCAGCGTTTGGGGAGATAGCCAGGTGCTGCAAGCGTGGCTCCCTGGGGGGGCATTGCCTTGCAGCGCTGGGTCACGGTGAAGCCTGCGTCCTTCTAAGCAGCTGGGCCGGCAGGAGCTGCAGCGCCAAAGCAAAAGGTGATCCGACAGGGCCCCGGAGGGCTTGAGTGGCTAAAAGCACCCTGGGCGTTTGTGCTGAAGTCCAGTGTATGCGGGTAGCTGGGAGAGGATGCAGTCTGCAGCCCTTCCTCCTATACAAGTCCCCTGCAAAAATGCCGGTGTTAAAAACCGAGAGTTGAAAATTAACCTGCCGTGTAGCTGAGTGACAGTTGCTCGCGGTTGCTTTGGGACTTGCTGAAGGTAACCTTGAGCAGGGAATGTCGTCAGAATTGTAAAGCATGCAGTTAAATAAATCACGCTGCTGCGTTAGTGCCTAGACCCAGATATAGGAGCGTCTTTTCTAAAAACTCTCTCAAAAGATTGCAGAATCATTGCAGACCCTTTTCTCTTCCCACCCAGCACCTTTGTCTGCCCCACAGAAATTGTAGCTTTCAGTAACAAAGCAAATGAATTTCACGATGTGAACTGTGAAGTGGTGGCAGTTTCTGTGGACTCTCATTTCTGTCATCTGGCCTGGATAAATACCCCACGAAAGGTATGAATTGGGCAGCTGTTTGGGGTTTTCTGTATTGGTTTCTTTTCTTCTCACAAGAGCTCCTGATAAGAAGAGTTGAATGAACAATCATGCAAACACTAATTTCAATACTTAGACAGCAGTACGTCTAAGTGAGTAACATAAGATGATGTAACTCAACTCTGATCTCAATCCTTTTTCCTGATCTTTTCTTTCATAGTTTTTTTTTGGCCTTTGTTTTCCTGACTGCCCTGGTAGTCTTGGAAGTTACATTGTGTCCATATGTTTATCCCACAAGATGAATATTCAATACACATGTTGCTGTTCTGAGGTGCTTGTTACAGCTAATGGTTTCTGTGCAGCATGACGCAGAATTACTAGCAGATGATTTAGTAATTATTGTTAACTAGTACCTAAAACTGGTAACTGGAGAATAGAAACAAAGGAACAATCAATTTATCAAAGCACTTGTAGTACTGACCGTCATCTGCTGAAATGGTTCCACTTCTTAAATACAAATGTAGGTCCTCAACTTTCTTCAGGGAAGGAAGAACTGCTAGCAAAGACTAGCTTTTTTACTGGAGAGCAGTCGCTTTTGCTTTTTTCTATATATCAATACCTATCTGTGATAATGCAAACCATCTCGCTAGTTTGTTTAATAGTAGAGAATCAGAAATGTCACAGACAGTTACAGAAATTCCTGTGTGATCGGTTATTGCCCATAGGATCATGTGGTCAACAGTAATGCTAGTTGTCATCAGAGTAGGATGCTCTAGAGGCATGGCTTTTTCTTTGTAACATATAGGAGAAGAATTTGTCTGCTAGATCCAATACGTCTTGGCTGAGCCAATCAGAGTAACTAATTTTCTGCATGCTTTGCTTAAACTCTAAAATATGATTATGGACTGACTTCATTACCTCATGTGAAAGCAGTTAAGTGTATGCCAGTCATGCGTTGTTTCGTGCACGCATAGCAAAATGTTTTGCAGAGGATGGAAAGGATTCCACAATGGTGCAGGTGGAAAACTGACACCTCAAGAAATTAACGCCTTGATTTCTCTGATATCTGCGTTTAAAGCCTTGCATTTGAGAACTCTGCTGCAGACAAGCATTTGCAGGATCAGGGTCTAAGCGACTAAGATTACACAACGATTCACTGATGATGCCAGGAATAGCAAAGCTAACAAACTCTGGTCATGTTTCAAGGATATGGAGCTTATCTCTCTTACTGTTCCAATATGTTGCAAAACTCAAAGCAGTCTTAGTTGACTGTCTACATATTACTTAAACAGACTCAAAAGAAAATACTTGCATTAAATGGAGGGCAGCAAAACTCTGACATACTTGGTATGGGTGTTGATAGCCAGCATTTTGTCTGTTGTAAATGTTTTCCCTTCTCTCCTCACCATGTTCATCTCATTTAATTTTGAGTACTTACATATGCAACAGAAAACTTTATGTTCAAAGATCCTGTGGAGGGGACAAAGGAAATCTTTCTGAAATTTTTTCATTGTTGTCTTAGTCCTTTACCACCAAAATAAGCAATTCTAAAATGTTCAGTGAAAAAAAAAAAAAAAGTCTTCATGTTCCAATCAGATCAAGTCTTCCTGAGTGCTTAAAAAATTTTCCCTGTATGGTTTGTTTCATGGTGCAAATGGAATAAGCGTTTTTTCTTGTTAATATATCTTCAGGAGCACTGAATCCATTCATTTAAAGGATAATCTTACAAAGCATTTGGTGATAAAATGGTATCTTATTCTGTTTTCACTAGAGCGGCGGCTTGGGCCACATGAATATTCCAGTTCTGTCAGATCTCACAAAACAAATCTCCCGTGATTATGGTGTGCTGCTAGAAGGACCTGGCATAGCACTACGGTAATGCATGATTGCTGGTAACTGTTATGACACAGCCCAGTTTAAAACAGTATGGGCCATACTGTCTTCTCCTGAGGATCAAACGAGGACTATAAAGTGTCAACGTTTTCTGTAGCACTTCTGTTTGATCCCATTCTGGGAAAAGGGTACATACCCATCAGTGCAAAGTTAGGAATGGTTCCAGACTTCTCTGGGAATACCTGCAGAGGGAAAGTCAGCTATTCTGATCCGAGTTACTGGGAGAACTCTGAGACACTGAGGAGAAAGGAGAGTAGGATAAAAGAGTGTTTCTCAGTCTTTCAGAATTTAGGTTTATCTGTTTCTCCCCTCCCCCCCCACCCCCCCGCAATGGCGGTAAAGAGACCACCTTAACTTCTGTGAGAAGTTTCTAAGCTACAGTCCTAAAGGCCACTAGTCAATCCTGCAACTATCTAGAATAATGAAATTTGCAGTACTTCCCTCTCCATCATGGAAATACTTATTAAAAGCAAATAGTGATCCCTGAGAAATGTTGGTTTTGGACAGAAGTCCACTGGAGATGTGTGATTCCTGATATCTCTGGATGAAAAGGCCTATACCAACTATCAGCCCTGAAGTATGGGAGTCATCTTATATTCTTACGTTCGGAGAACGCTAGTTATGGATTTTGGGTAGAGAAGGGCTTCTTGTATGCTGTGGAAAAAGGATTGCTTCATTTGGTTCCCTTCTGAGAACTGAGTGGTAGAAGTTTGCAGAGGACTGCTTAAAACTGCTTCAGAGCTGAACATGAATTAAGAACAACACTGATTCTAGGTTACTCTAATTTGCTCTTCTTCCACCTAAAAAGAGAGCAGCTTCTTTGCTAGAAAGAGCTTCTGATGCTTCTTTGTTGACAAATTAAGTTAAACTCAACGTGTCAGTAGAGTAAGACTGGGACTTCAGTTTCCACAAATGTTTATATGTAACAGGATTTAATTTAGTTTAATGTCAAAGCAACTCTTCGATCAGTAACTTCTGATTTTCTTATTAACCAAAAAGACATGGGAAGGATGCCAGCTATCAACTTTGAAATATAGGTGGAATTAGAAGTTCTGCTTTAGTTATGTTTTTGGGTATCTTGATTTCATAGTCTTCATGCGTGCTTTGTAATATCACCATGCAAATTGACTCGCGTTGCTTTTGATCGCTGCACTAACAAACTATATTAAATGCTGTATTGCTACTCCTAACAGATATGTGCATCTTTTTTTGTGTTTGGACTTGGAATGTGATCTGCATTCCCTAAATTGTTGCTCGCTTGCAGAGGTCTCTTCATCATTGATCCTAATGGAGTCATCAAGCATCTAAGTATCAATGACCTTCCTGTGGGTCGTAGCGTGGAAGAGACCCTTCGCTTGGTGAAAGCATTCCAGTACGTGGAAACACACGGAGAAGTTTGCCCAGCAAACTGGACTCCAGACTCCCCTACAGTAAGTGCCTGCTAAATATCACTTTTCTAAATATAGACACTGGCATATCTTTGCATGTCCAAAGGGCCGAGAACTACTTAAGTGTGAGCTGCTTGAATTGTTCCAACTGATGTAAGCTTCAGATTTAGACTGCGTGAATAAATTCAGTCAGTCTATTTGTATGATATTAAATGAATGATTCCTTTTAAAAAAAAAAAAAAAAAGTCCACAACTTTCTTCACAGAAGATGCAGATTGTATTTCAACTCTTAATTTGACTTGCACTTTCCACCAATTGCCTTGGATTTTTACTTCTTTAATGCCCTGCTATTTAGCAGGAAAAAATGTCTTTTATTTAAAATTTGCAAATGGAAGCTTGTACATCTTCTAGGCTTTCATTTTTCTTTCAAACAAGTGGAGAAGGAGGAATAATCTAGTGTTTTAATAAAGTATGCATGCTTTTATTGCATAAAATGTCAAATCCATGATTGTCTTGTCTTGGTTATAGAATATAATAACTAAATTTTTTCTTTTCTTGACAGATCAAACCAAGTCCAGAAGCTTCTAAGGAGTATTTTGAGAAAGTACATACATAAATGCTCAAATACACAGAAAAAGCTCTTAGTAATGAAGATGTTACTTTGTGCAACTACGCAAACCTCAAGTAAAAGAGGTTGCTGAAGACCTTAAGAAAGCAGCTGTGATTGTTTATAAAAAAATCAGTTCTCATTTCCTTATGTTTAAAAAAAATTAAATACTAAAACATTTACTGATTCCTTTGTCTTGTTTTAAAAGGAAGGTGAAGAAGTTGAGGTTTTTTTTTTTCCCCTTGGCAACTTCAGTTGCACGAATTTCTGTAGCCGATGGTCTTCCTGAATGGTTAAAGTACTCAGAGTATGCTTGCCTTCCACTAGGTTTTCCTCTCTTTTGTTAACCTGGGAAACTCTCTGGACAAGGCTAGTTTTCTTTTCTCGCCTGAAAGATGGAATTCTGTAATAACAGCTTGAAAAGGCAGAGTGTGGACAATGCAGAAAACAGTTTTGATCCAGGATTTGTTTTTAATGAACTTCTCAGGGGAAGGGATGAATGTAACAAGCAAACATAACCCCCAAATTTTCCACATATGAATGCACTGTAACTGGAAATGAATGTAAACCTACCATTTTCCCCCCACATATAGTCAAAGATACAGCACCAAATAGAACAGGAATGTTAACAAGCATGAAGAATTTATATTCTGCTTGCGCAACAGTAAACACTTTAATGCCTGTGGTGTACTTACTAGAGCTTAGTGACAGTCTTCCTTCACTTAAAGAATCGCTTATTTATTTGAATCTGCTTCCAGGACGATTTAATGGCCAAATGTTGTACAGCTTGGAAACAATGTAGCCTGTCTCTCTCAAACCACGCAACGGTCAATAAATCCTAACACTGACTAGCTGTAGCTGTGTTGCTTTTTTTTCTTAATTCGACTTTCCGTTAAGAGTAGACTTTCCTGTATTCTGGAGACTGCCTCTGTTTGCAACAAGCAGTTAACGGCCGCAACTGAGCCTGTGCGCGCACAGAGGTGAGCAGGCCCTAGAGCAGCAAGCAGTGCTGGAGGGCTGGATAAACTGGATAAAAGTGGGTATTTTCCACCTCCTCCCCTTGTGAGCAAGGGAAAAGAACTGGGGAGAACAAAGGCAGAGCAATCGCCTTGGCAGAGGAGGAAGTTGTTCTGTCGCGACAAGCGCACCCTTTAATAAGGAACGGGATTGAAAAAGGCGCCCGCCCTTCTGTGCGACGCCTGGTGCCGTAGAGGGAGAGGGGGTCACCGTGACAGCTTTCGGTCTTGCAAACAGTAAGGTTTTCAGCCCCAGCGTTTTACTTCCGCCTCCTCCAGAGCCGCTGCTATCCGTGCAGTAAAGGGGAATGTCCCGCCGCTGCGCAGGGCGAAGGTTAACCTGCGCAGCTCGGTTACAGGGAGCAACGGGTCAGTGTTTTGCACCTCTGAGACCACAGGGCTGTGACATGCTTCGGGCTTTTTTTTCCCCCCCTTTCCCCCCCGCCTTTCCCAGCTGTATCTCTCTAACCTCAGACAGCTTTGCTTTGTTTTAGGTTTCTGCCGAGCTTGG